CTGTGCACTGATTTATAACTCATTTCAGCTGGTAAGAATATAATTGATTGAGTTATTCTATTGATATTTCTTCCTGGACTTGGTAATCCATGGACTTCTGCATAATTTTTTAGAAAGTTTTTTACTATTTCTGCAATATTTTTATCAATCACCATTTTAGTTTTCCATTGAGGCATCCTTTTAATATTACCATGAATTCTTGGCAGAAACCCATTGTTTATCAGATGATTTCTAATGTTTTCAAAATAAGTCCTACCAATTTCTAACATATTGAGGTAAGTTTCTTGACAAAGGGGTGTATTGTGATCCCATTGATAGAATGTCTTTTTGTTAGATCTGGTCCTCTTTTTAAGGCGTCTACTAGTGCTTATTAATCCCCATCCATTGCCTTAAGTTGAGCCATTAAAAATATGTCTTGTTCAGACTTGGAAAGAGCTTGAAAGGATTCCCTTAATTCTGCAAATTGTTCTCTGGGAGTTCTTGAAGAACAACCACAATCATAACCTTTTTCTAAAAAATCAATTGCCTTTTCATATTCATTAGAACCATTACATTTGTTACCTTTGTTAATACTTCTCATATACCTATAACACTATATATTATTTTATGTTCACTTTGTGGTTTTCATTTATTTTAAAATTGAAGAGATTCTGAAATTGGTCCTATGGTGACAAGCAAAATAGGCAGAAAGAATTAAATTTGGGTGGATCTGCAAATAAATATCAGAAATATTTTCAAGTATATATTCAATAATTGATATAAAAGAGAAAATAAAAATCCTCAACTGGTTCCATGAAAAATAATTATGTTAGATTTAAGTTATTTATTATTACTAAAAATGGATAAAATAAATTATCTTGAGACCTGAGATTTATTGATCAGACTAAAATTGACAAACAAATAAATAAAAGAGAATTATTGTTATTTCTAGAAAAACACTAAAGAAAATCATTGTTTAGTGTTAATTATACTAAAATAGTAAAACTGATTTTTTATTTTAAAATTAGTAAAATATGCATGCAAATTTCAATTTCCTATATTTTTAAAAAATAAAGAAAATTTGAAGTGTATAAATATGATTGACTTTGGACTATCAAAAACATTAATTAATAAATTGATTACCACTTTGCATGATTGAGGCTAATGGCATTACAAAAGTGGAATAAAATAACAAATTTTAAGTATAATTAATTATGTATCTTTAACAAAACAAACATGACTTAGCTATTTAATCATTTCCTTGTATGTGAATGCCTCCATCCAACAAATATTCATGATGGTCATGATTATTATTCAATACATTTGATATCATCATTGACATAACAAACAATTGCATCACCCAGGTAGTAACAATACCAAGGCCATGCAAAAATGAAACTTTTAATAATGCATGTCTACCCAGATCTCTGGGATTCACAATAATAAATTATTCTTCCTGATTATCAATTATGGTTCCTTATGAATAATAAATCTGATGTTGATCATAGGTGTCAGATTTAATTAAAATTTCCTGTCACAAACAAGGAATAAGGTGCTTTCACACCTCCTCATAACCGTAGGATTTTTTTCCACAGTTGAGGTAATACAAACATGTTGGAAGGCTTTGGACAAAACATTCCCTTATCTTCCCCCTAAGACCAGGCTGGGCTGTTACCATATGGAGCATTGATTGCTGATGAGAGTTGACATTCGTGTGATGATTGCTGCATGTTATACCCCTCCAGCATAAAAGTTGGTGTTAAGACTGGGTTGAAAATTCTGCAACTCTGGAGGTTGCAACCTGGGTTGCTGTAATTTTTATGAAAAGAAAAGTATTAATATTTAACAATTAATTATTTAAATGTTTATTTTGTTGAAAAAAATATACATTGATAGTGTACATTTTCTGTGCTTAACATCCATGTGACCCTAAGTCTGGACAAAAGATCCCTTTCTATGAGTTTGGCTGGTATATCTCAAAGGCGTCCCCTGTCTTGTCAGTGGCATGCCTATTCACCAACAACCCTACCCCCATTTACTAAAATAACAAATTCAGTTGGTCAAATAAAAATTTAGAGAAACAGAGTATTTATGAAAATGATTAATTTATATGGAACATACCAAACAAAATCCGAACCATTTTATAACTTTTTTCTTTTTCTTGTTGGCCATATTGCTGACAAGGGTGTATATAATCATGTGATAATTTTAATCTATACAACAGAGGACTGATTGGGCAAAAACCCCCTACCCAAAATTATAAATTGGTTAGTTAGTATCAGAGAAGCAGAGAATTTATGAAAATGGTTATTATACAAAACAAACACTATTTTACAACTTTCCTCTTAACATCAGAGTCCAAATGCAATTTCAGGGCCACCAACCCTGCTCTGAATTGTGACCTCCTGTACTGGAAACTCTCTTACAATTCATCAGCAGAGTTGCGACTTAGCCACAATGCCATCCTTACACCAGAGGTAGGATCGTTGCAGTCGACTTTTCAGCCAGCATGCCAGCAGCCATCTCTGGTGAGGGAAGATTAGTGAAAGCGTCATTGACAATTGATGCAGTCTCGGTAAACTCCAGAGCTTTGCGTCCCCCCCCTGGAATTCAGCATCATTGTATCATCGGGAGAAACGTGGTCAGATTAGCCTTTTGTACATGAGGAACGTGTGAGAATGACTGTAAGTGTTCAAGGTAGCGTGTGTGCTTCAACGTCTGCCAATTTCCTGTAATCAAACATTGCATATCGAAATGTTTCATATTCAACAATGTGCTGTCTTGACATCTTGTGATTATATATTTATAATAATATTATTATTGATTACGAAAAGTAAAATATTATCAATGAAAATCTTGTAATTACCCAACAAGATCTGTTCCGCGTTTTGATTTCAATTAAAATGTTTATAAACTAAAAAAGGCACCACATACATATCAATACAAGTAAAAAATAGTACCTCTGGTTAGTTATTAACACGTTTTCTTTAGGAGACCCAAACCAAACCAAACCAAACAACAACGTTCACGTTTTGTCACCTTGGGCTCTGTCAAAAAATAAATTGTTTTTCCAAAAGAAAAAAAAAAATCAATTCGCGTCTGTCCTACCAAAAAAAAACCAATAGGATACGCATCGATCAAATAACAAACTTAATTTTTAAAAAAATTTAAAAAAAATGTCTCAACAAAGAGGTAAAAGTAAAAGAAGTAAACAAACTGAAACAAGGAATGATGGGTGAGTGTTTTAAGGATGGTGGTGGTGGTTATCGCCCGCCACTCGTCATCACTCTAGTTATATATAAACTTGTTTTTTATTTATTTATTTAGTGTAATAGACTCAAAAGAAAATAATAACGATGATATATATGGTTCCATCAAGAATGCGCTGAAATTTTTAAATCAGAATAATAAAACGATCCCAGTCGAAAAACAACCATCACATAAACATTCTAATTTGTATATTCAAAGTATAATTTATATAAACGCACTTGACAATCCATTGGTGGATCAATCTTTAATGATAGATCAAACGTTAATTAATAAAGAATTAGAACAAATAATTACACTTAAAGAAGTGTCACCGTTTTTACCAGCATTTCTTGGAGAACTGGAAATAGTGGTATTTATTAAAGTTCTTGGTTGATAATTTTTAAAATTAACAAAATTAACAATAGAAATAATATTTTAGACTAAATTATCATCTTGGTATGAATTAGAACAATGGGCTCGTAAAAAATATTTTTCAGACTTTGCAGATATTATTTGGCCAGATCGATCTGTATTTGATAGCTTAATTGTGAATTATCTACAAGATATTCTTATACATTAGTAAGTATAATTTATTCATGTTGTTTATTTTACTTGATATTCAAATTTATGCTTGTTTATTGACACATGACATTATAGTTCATCATTGTTCCAAGAACCATACCATGAAAACTTATGCGAAGGAGATGTACATGACATTCACATACTTCCCTTAACAAAACTATTACGGCGTGTATGCAAGTTAATTAATGGTGAAAGATTTTCTGAGGCTGTGAAATTTCGGATAAATTTATTTAATAAATCAAATCATAGAGGACATAAAACAGACTTGGGAGGGGAGATTAGTGGATTTGAAGTGTTCACATTTGAAAATTCTTATATAGCTAATGAGCATACTAAAAAATTTAAAAAAGATGAATTAAAAATTGCATGTTATACCAGGGATGATTTGATAGTACTATGGCAAACATATTATCGAAAAGCTTTTTCCGTATTTAGTGAATTTGAGACTTATCTTATGGCTATACGAACTTGGGGAGCACAACTTTCTGGTACTTTGGATGGCAATAGTGGACTCCATCTCAGTATTTATTCCACTAGACAAGTTACGGCTGGTTTATTTTTTTTTCTTATGGTTGACTCTGAACCTTTACCACGTAAAGAAACTGGTGTTGGTTATGCAAGCTTAAGTGCTTGCGCAGAATTGGTTATTCGGCTAATGGTAAGTTATGCTTTTTTTGAAGATCTTCAAGATAAAAACATAACTAATTTTGTTGTTTTAATTAGGCTGGTATACAACAAACAAGTAAAATTTATCTTGAAATGGATAAATTATATAGAGGCTTGAGTCGACAAAATCCCAAAAAACAATCAGAGAAGAGGGTTTATTTAGACGAAATTTGTGATATTAATTCATTAAATAGGGATCAAAATATCAAAAAAATGAAACAATGTAGTAAAAATGATGATATCATGGAAAGTGAAAGTGACAAGAAACGATGTGGAGTTTGTAATCAAAGAGGTCATAATGCACGAACTTGCTTGAAATATATTGAACACATGAAAAATGAAACAGTGTTTTAGTGTTGCTTATGGTAATTAATCTATCTACACATTAGAATTCTGTAAATTTGGGCACAATCAATAATAAGTAAATGAAATAACAATAAAATAATAAAGAAATAAATATATTTCAAAATTTAAAATTTAAGAATAAGTTAAGTCGATTGTCCTATTACTGGAATAAATAAAATAAAATTTATTATTTTCTTTCTTTTTTATTTGTCCAAATCATTAAATGACTATTCAATGTATCTACTAAAGACACCTGCTGTAATTGGTTATTTGCGGCAATGGTAAGGGTGCTGACATATATTAATATCATTTTAATAGTAGCACCTACCCCAGGTAAGATATTTTGATCGCATGTATAATAATCATTTGCCTTTTTTAGGTATCAATGATACACAAAAAAATCATTTCTGCTGATAGCAACGTTGGAATATACAATTTTCCTTTATAATATATTTAAATTCTAATATGCATGTGCAGTAGAGTTTCTATTCGAATAATGTTTATTCAAATTATTTGTTTTATTCATTATGAATTTGAATATCTGAAAGTTATAAAACAAATAATTTGATTATAATAATATGTTGATCGGTAAAATAATTCTAGTCGAAATTAGGCAATTAATCTATACCATATTTGGTAATGTAAAGAAATTCGTTTTTTTTAATTCGCTACAGTGCGGATCATCTATACTCAAAAGTTAAAATTTTTGAAATATTATGTGATCCACACATTGGATTTTTAAAAACTCACCACCATTCAATTCGGCTTTAAAAAGGGAGTCTATTAATCTAAAAAAAAAATTTGTCTCAAATTTTCTTTTTCATAGATTTTTTAAATTTGAAAGTTATGCTCAGAAGTGCAACAATAATTTTCGTGT